TGTTCAAATACTAACAATCACATCTAGTTATGTCTGCCATCTGGCCTACAGTGATTTTAAGATTCACCCCAATTTTTAAAGCTGTTAAAACATGGAGAAATGTGAATCTTAAGATGGAGGTGATGTGGAAGCAGCTAAGAAATGAATGTAGTGCTAGACTACAGTTATAAAAAAAAAAACAACAAACCCAAAACAAACTAGCTCCACCATTCAAAAGTATGTCAAAGTGTGTCTTGAGAAAAATCACTTAATCTCCACCCTTAATTTTTTAATCCAGGAGACAAGTAATAGTGACAGCACTTAATTCCTGGGATAGTTGTGATGATTAAAGATTTTGAGGTAGAACATTTAGCAGGTACCTGGCAGAAAGTGTGCACTCAGATGGAATTATCCCCTATATACTGTCTTGTAACATTTTCATTTTAAACATAGTTCTGTTTCGGTATATGTATACACATATATATGCATATGTGTATATAGAGAGAGACTTATTTCATCCTTTTTAAAAATTTTTGTTGTGCTGCGGTACATCGTGACATTTACCAAGGTTCTTACAATGTATCATAATTGAATTCACCCCCTCCACCATTCTCCTTTATCTCCCCCTCCCTATTCGTGGAATAGTTTTAACAGGGCTCATTTTCCCATTTTTATACATAAGTACATACCCCTCCTCCACCCTTTCTTATATCATCCTCCCTCCCATTGGTGCCAACCCCAGACAGGATCTGTTTTATCTTTCTGACTTCCATTTAAAAAAAAGACATTTTTGTTTGTGTAAGATAGCTAGACAGGGAGTTTCACTGTGCTAGTTCCATGTTTATTTCATCCTTTTAAATAGTTATCTTTTAACAGTAATTTTTCTGTTCTTTAAAAAAATCAGTTTCTTAAATCTTTATTTTTCCCAATATATCGCACAGTAAAAAATTAAATTGTGTAGGAGGATTTTCAAATCACAACAGTCTCTACCTTTTGTCTTCCTACCTCATCCTTCCTTACCTCAATGCCATTCTCTGGAAGCCATCTTCCAGTTGGAGAAATAGAAGGTAACCAAATCTTTGAAGCATCCTCTCCATGCCACATACCTGCCCTTTCCCAACTTCCTCTGTCCATACAGGTAACCACTGTTCTGAATTCTGTAGTTATTTTCTGTGGCTTTTCAATTCTACCACATATGCATACAGCATAACCAAAGATGCTATTTCATTTAGCATGTTTTTAAAGGTAATATACATGGTAGTCATGCCATATATGTTATGGTGACTTGCTTTATGACTCAATCTTATGTTTCTGAGGTGCATTTCAGTTGATACCTGGAGCTGCGGTTCATTGGTTTTTATTGTTGGATAATTGTATATCATATGACTGTACCACAGTTTATCCATTCCAGTCTCAGTGCACTTTCAGTGTTCCCTCACTGTCCTTCTACTCAAGCTCCTTTCTTTATGGACCATTTATTCTTATATGATGTCTTGTTGTAGGAATTATAAGTTTTTCATTGACCTGACTCTGGCCTTTATTAATTCTTTTGCTTAGTCACTTAGCCAGTGTCTGTTCATGAAATCTCCTTGATGAAGGCTGTTTCTCCCTGCTATGGACTGTCACTGAATATTAATTAGAAAAAAACCCCAAAACCCAACAACTTTGTTTATACAATAAGGGCACTTAATTTCAATAAGTTTAAAATATTATTTCAATATTTCCAACCTAATCTCATGCATTTTAGTCTATTTTGTACTAGAAAGTATAAACTCATTTGAGTTACATTCATGAAAAGTCACATGAAAATGTGTGTCAAGAAGATGGACACAGAGAAGACAGATGGTACTGGGAAGGTAGAAAACGTGATCTTTGAGTCAATAGAATCAGTTCAGATTAGTCTCCTCAAGATAAATATTGACAATTACGCAAAATGTGCAGAACTGTACCATCTGAACTATGGCTAACAGTGATATACATCACAAAGTTCACATATTATGCAAACAGCCACAAAGGACAGAGCTGGACTCTACTGCATAGCAGTAATGCAGTGCAGAGGTGCACTGGAGCAGGATATTTTCTTTTCTATTTACTTCTTTGAGGAATTAATGTTTTGCTTTATTGATGAATTAGATCTTTCATATAATTATAACAAAATGTTACACTACTAATACTAATTAGGGGACAAGCCAGTCCAAATGAGAGTCCTGAAATAATGGCTTGATGTTAAATGTTTAGTTTGGCTAATGAGAGATTTGCTGGCCAAGTTTAAACTTGTAATGTTATTTGCATGAAGTCATTAATTTGTAAAAACTCCTCCTAAAAAGCTTATCCCCTTTAAAAGAGTTAAGCAAGGCTCATGTTTTAGCCAAAAAGAAAAAAAAAAGTGTTTCTTTCAGTTAGTGTCCATTTCTTGCCTATTTACTAAGTTAAAATATGTAACAATAACAATAATTTATTTAGCACTTATCCTATACCAAGTAATGTCCTAAGTACTTTCTATCTATTAACTAATTTAAACTTTGTCAAACTCTGTAAGGAAGGTGTCACACTTTTACCATTCCCTTTTACAGATGAGGGAACTGAGACACACAAGTTAGGAAACTGAGACACACAAGTTTGTGTTCTCCCAACTTCATATACTACTGTCCTGATTTCTAGTACCTCTGAATGCAGTGTTATGTGGAAATAGGGTTGTTGCAGGTGTGATAAGTTACATTAGATGAAATTACACTGAATTGTGACCATAACTCAGTGATTTAAAGAAGAAATTTGGAGGGACAAGAGCACCAGGACACGCTTCATTCACACTCAATTTGCAAAGATTGCCTCAGTCTACAAGAAATCCCAGTCACCTTCCTCAGAAGAACACCCCCCGCCCCACCCACCCAACTTCGTCTTGGACTTCTGGTCCCTAGAACTATGAGGTTACACCACTCTGGTACTTTGTTCTAGTTCTAGCAAACTAACACGTTGAGGAGCCAGGGTCAAGACAGGCTAAAATTGCTCCAAGACCAGGATTAACACTTCATTCTCTGCCCCTCCCATAATGGACCCACTCAAAATAAACACAGGCATACCCCCCTTATCAATGGCACAGGACTGACAAGCTTTCAAATGTAACAGAGAAATCAAATCATTTGGAAGTCTTTTTTCCTTATGGCATTTTCCTGGTGCACAGAACCCCTCTTTCCTGACACCTAAGTTAAAAGGACTGTTGGAGCCACACATTCCTCTTGCAGACACCAATTTAAGCCCAACAGCTTAACTCTAAGCCTAAAAGGACTGTTGGAGCACACACTCCTCTTGCCAGACCACCAATTAAGCCCAACAGCTTAACTCTAAGCCTATGGCATTTCTAGGGTTTCCAAACACAAATATTTGAATCCAGTGCAGTGGTGGAGGCCTGTGATCCCAGCACACAGGGGGTAAAAGAAGGAGGATCATGAGTTTCAGGACAGCTTGGCTACATAGCAAAATCCTGCTGCTGTTGTCCCCCACCCCCCTCCAAGGAAAAATACAAAAAAACCCTACAAATGTTTGTTAAATAGATTTTAGAAAGCAGCATTCTGAGGTTAACAATGTCCAGATATGTTCTTTTTCCTGTGGGTTAAAATGTGCCCTGTTGGTGACAATAGGGACAGTGGCCCTCTGAATTGTCCTATCAAGCTAGTACTGGCAGATAAAGGAAGTCTGTGCAGGTGGCTGGGCGACCTCCAGCAAGGCATGGATGAGAACAGGAGCCTTTGAAATGTTGAGTGAGTACCAAGGACAGGTCCTGAAGTCTGGCGCCCTGAAGCCTGGGGGATGAGGGTAAGGGGGGTCATTCTCTGCCCCTCCATAATGGACCACTCAAAATAAACAGCATACCCCCCTTATCAATGGCACAGGACTGACAACTTTCAATGTAACAGAGAAACAAATCATTGGAAAGTCTTTTCCTTATGCATTTCCTGGCCACAGAACCCCTCTTTCCTGACACCTAATTAAAAGGGCTGTTGGAGCACACTCCTCTTGCCAGACCACCAATTAAGCCCAACACCTTAACTCTAAGCTATGGCATTTCTAGGGTTTCCAAACACAAATATTGAATCCAGTGCAGTGGGGAGGCCTGTGATCCCAGCACACAGGGGGTAAAAGAAGGAGGAATGAGTTTCAGGACAGCTTGGCTACTAGCAAAATCCTGCTGCTGTTGTCCCCACCCCCCTCCAAGGAAAAATACAAAAAAACCCTACAAATGTTTGTTAAATAGATTTTAGAAAGCAGCATTCTGAGGTTAACAATATCCAGATATTTTCTTTTTCCTGTGGTTAAAATGTGCCCTGTTGGTGACAATAGGACAGTGGCCTCTGAATTGTCCTATCAAGCTAGTACTGGCAGATAAAGTCTGTGCAGGTGGCTGGGCGACCTCCAGCAAGGCATGGATGAGAACAGGAGCCTTTGAAATGTTGAGTGAGTACCAAGGACAGGTCCTGAAGTCTGGCGCCCTGAAACCTGGGGGATGAGGGTAAGGGGGTGGCGATGAGGGCCAGGGAGCGCTGCCAGTCAAAAGTGGGTTCCTCTCGAACGGCCTGGGCGCTCCCTTCTGGCTCCTTGCCAGGTGTGGGAAGTATGAAGGTCAGGTCCAAGGTCAGGGTCAGGTGTGAGGTGCGACTGGAGACCACCTGCGGTGGCTGCGGTAGGGTGGTTCTGAGCATTTTGAGTTTCTCCTGTGGATCTCGCGGTGGCCGCATCTCTTGGCCAGCACGAGGTAGGGCACCACAGCCCCCGCGGTGTGGTGAGGAGGACCAGCCCTGGGTCGCGGCGCAGGGGGTGGGAGTCTCCAGCGCGTGGCCCCTAGGCGCTCAGGCTGCAGCGCCGCGGGTGGCTGGTGGCGGAGGGTGGGAAACGCACTGCACGCGTGTCCCTGTCACCCCCCGCTGCCTGAGCGGCGTTCTCTTTAAGCACGTTGCCGCGCGGGTCGGCAAGCACTTTGGGGCGGAGCTAAGGCGACTGGGGAGCTTTATCAGGAGACCCAGGAGGGAAGGCCAGGCCACCTCCTTCCTCAATCTGCTGCACACCCTAGAGCTGGGGACTCGAGGGCCGGGGCTGCAACTGCGCAGTGATGTCGGGGGTCTCAGCCCGGAGCCTGGCGAAGGGTGAGGTTGTCCGCTGCGATCTGGGAATGATCTTCGCGCCCCGGAGAGGCTGCTCCGGCGGGAACGAGCCCGGGAGGCGGCGGGATCCGGGGACTGGGGTGGGGGACCAGGGGGTCCCGTCCACTCTGCAGGCGGTCACCGTCCTCTCTTCCCCCCCGCAGGTAGCGCGCCCCCGGGGCCGGTCCCGGAGGGCAAGATCCGCGTCTACAGCATGAGGTTCTGTCCATACGCACGGAGGACCCTGCTGGTCCTGAAGGCCAAGGGAATCGGGTGAGGACCGAGGAGCCGGGAGCCAGCTGCGGGGCGGTCCGGGCAGGGAATCACGCACTGGACCCGGAGGTTTTGTTTCGTTTTTAGGGACAAAATTCTCAGCCTTTTGTGGAACATAGCAAGTTACAAACCCTTTTCTTAAGCAGTCTAGGACAGTTTGTTCAGATTATTTTATGGATCAGAAAAGCTGGTGTCGTGATCACCTTTAGTAAAATTATGCGTGACCAGTGGCAACAGCTGTCAGCTCTGGATCCTGGAGATTCCGGAGTCTGTGTTTCGCTTTCACTCTTTCTTGTCCTGCTGTTATTCTGAGTATATGACCCCTTCCCCGTGGTAAGTTGCTTCAGTTACATACAGAGTTCAGACCTGAACCCTCCCAGCGGAGGCTGTGTCTACTGCCCCATGCACATCCTGTAGATTGGGTCTTTGCTGCTGACAAATAGAGGAAGTGTCTATGCCTGGAAAGTCAGTCTTTTTGAAAACCTCATTACTGAAACTAGCAGTTGTTGACTTGTGTGCTGTCCACAATGGACAAGTCACTTGGCTTTTCTCTGATGCTCAAGATCTCTTGGAACCACTTCCTTTCCAGTGACCCGGGGAATCTTTTGAACAGACATTTATTTATTAGATACTTGTGGCGTAGAAGGCTCTGTGGAAGTTTAAAATATCCCATTCTCAAGGAATTTTTTATGTAGAGTTTGTAAACTAATTTTAGTCTTCTAAGGGGAGAACTAGGCAGGCAGGCATTTCTCTAAAAGCAATGGAAGCTTCATGCTAAAGGAAAAACAAAATATTTTTGGATTTGCTATCACTTCACTAAGATTTACATCTCATTTGGGTGAAAGTATAATTTTAAACACAGAACAAAATATTCCCTATTTTGTAATGTTTATCTAATGCATTGTAATTGGTGTTTGCTGGATTACCCAGAACTCTTATTGCAACCAACAGAGATTCAAACTGGTTTATAAATGTAATAAAGGCATTTCTTGTACTCATCTAATAGGAAAGTCAAGGAGTAGAGCAGGGCTGGAGTCAGGTTCAAATGGATACAATTTTCCTCCCTCCAGAACACTTGTTTGAAAAAGTTACCTCTCACTTAGGAGAGTTTTCTAAAGGAAAAGTGGTATCATTTTACCATAAGGATAGGAAAGAAAAGATGTTGGTGTATATTACTTTTGAGTAATCTGTTCTATTGGGCACTGATCCAGCTTTGACAATTATACAGACCTTTCTTTAACAATTATAACACACTTTCTTTTATTTCCTCTATACTCACTCAGGCTAGATACAAGGTAGATATGATTACAATCTGAATGTAGCCTGACTTCAGTTGTTTTCTTCCTTTTTTGGATTACTTTGTGTAGTTTTTTTAAACATACAACATTTAAAAAATATATCAACATATGAGAATTCCTTAATATCCTTGTGGAAAGCAAAAAATTTTTTGTTCATATTGGCAAAATGAATTCAGTTGAGTCAATTCATTTTGAACTGAATTAAAGTGAAGTGAATTTTGTCATGTGAATCCTCATATAGTGGGGAGTGGACACAATTTAATTAGTTGCCTCAAGTTGGGATCTCAAGGAGATATCAACACTCCTGCATCCATTGTCATGCTGTTCACAATAGTGCAGTGCCAATGTCCCTGGACAGATAGATAAAGAAACTGGGGTGTATACATACTATCCCACCTTTTAAAAGAAGGAAATTGTGCAAGATGTGGCAACATGGATGGATTTTGAGGACATTACTCTTAAGTGAAATATGTCAGACACAGGAAGACAAATACTGCATGGTTCAAATTGGCAGGAGGTATCTAAAATAGTCAAATTCTTAAAATAAACAGGTATGGAGAGAATCAAGGCAGAATTGACTATTAAAATTGGGGTGTGATTAACTGAATGGATGGCTGGACCAGTTAGGATTTATTCAGAAGTACAGAAAGTAAGCTGGGTATGGTGGTTCACACTTGTAATCCCAACACTTGGGATCTGGAAGTAGGATGATCTTGAGTTTGAGGCCAGTCTGGGCTATATACCAGGTTGTCTCAAAAAACAAAAACAAAACAACAACAACAAAAACCAGGTTATAGGGCTGGAGTTGTGGCTCAAGTGGGAGAGCACTTGCCTACCACCAAATAAATAAATAAATAGGGAAAACAGATACAAGAAAAAACACCAGAGTATTAAAAAATTCTATTAAAAACCAGGTTAAAAATAATAAAGTACCTAAAATGCATGGTTTGCTTTCTTCTTTGTCTTATATGTTCCTTTCAGGCATGAAATCATCAATATCAACCTAAAAAATAAGCCTGACTGGTTCTTTAAGAAGAATCCTCTTGGTCTGGTGCCAGTTCTGGAAAACAGTCAGGGTCAATTGATCTATGAATCTGTCATCACCTGTGAGTACCTGGATGAGGTGTATCCCGGGAAGAAGCTGTGGCCAGATGACCCTTACGAGAAAGCTTGCCAAAAGATTCTCTTGGAGTCATTCTCTAAGGTGTGTGTGTCAGAAATGTTAGTCCCTATTTGAAAAAGCTTTTGTTCTTCTTTTTGTTTTGTTTTAAAAGCTAAATCAGTGCTGTCATTTATGATGGTTCAGTGATTTGGGAGAGGAGAAGAAATCAGGAATGTGCTCTTGTCAGCAGGACACATCCTGTAAGCCCTTCCAAGACCTGGTGCCTGTTCACTTCTCCAAAGTTATTCCTGCTCCATCCTCTCCTGAGACTCTGTCCTCTCTGTCTCCACAGTCGCTACATTCACTCAGCTCTTGCAGAAGAGCCTTCTCTCTTCTATCTCGGCCTTGTTTACTCACAGGCATCTGCTCTAAAAAGTGTTTGCATCTTAGTAGCATCAATATGGACCAGTTCAAACAATTAGTATCAGCAAAGAAGTGAACAACAGATGTGTGTTGCAACACAAAGAATAACAATGCACAATTATATTCCTATAAACTTACTACCTTGGTAGTATGGTTAGTGTATAAAGGGATATTTTGTCTATAAACAAAATAGGTTATAAAAAATACCTAGAAGATGGGAGAGTTATTGGGAGAGCATATTGTTTTGTGAGCTCTTGCAAAGGGATGGGAAGGAAGAGAGAGTCATCTGTCTTAATAGGATGCTGGTAAAAGAACAGTGCAAGTGGCTGCTGCCAGTGATAGAAAGGATATATGGTATTTACAAGAAATGTACTGTCCAGAAAGAAAACAAGCACAAAACATAGAACTGGAGATGCCATCAATATTTCCCATTCACCTTCAGGAAGAAGGTGGTCTGGTACCATGTGATCCTACCCTCCTGGCCACAGCTCATTGGACCACAAAAGCATCCCACTCCTCCCTTGCTATCCATAGCTAATCTTCCCTCCTGGGAATTTAGAAGCAAGACATAGGGACTAAGAAAGTAAAGGTGTTAAGCTTACATAGCATTGGAGACTTGAAAAATCAAGCCCATATAAAAATACATTTTGCAGGGAAGCAGAAATGAAGAGTATCACAAAGGAAACTGATTTATGGAAAGTAATGTGAAATAAAACTGAAGGCACAGCAAGGATGAAAGACTAGGTAGGCAGAGATGAGAAATGTGGACAGAAAAGCTGCCTGCAAGCTTTCAGTTCCAACGAGAAAGCTGTCTTGATCTGGACAAGATTTCACGCTATTCTTCTGTTTTACACAGGGTGGGTGGGCTTCTACACTGAAGTGATCTCAAGGATAAAAAATATCAAAATATACAAACACCTCTTCCACAACATTAAAGCATCTGACACTACACCTGTCAGGTTTTCAGATATTTGGCTCCTTTTGAATTGTCTTCTTGTGTTCACTGAGAAAAACTCTTTCCCAGCTCCCTTTGCAGCTGGGTCAAGGTCTGTGATCTAGGCCTTTCCTGCCACACACACTCATGGTAATCTTGGATTGAGATAAGAGCAGTGTGAGGGACCAGGCTTGGTGTGGGTCATTGGTTGGGTGCTGTTGGTGACAGGGGCGGCAGAACTTCTGGCTTTCAGGAGTAGGGGTGGGCATAAGATTAAGTTCCAGAGAAGCAAACAACATTGTGGTCAGTGACAGTACTGGTTACCTGAGTAACAGCATAAACTTTGGCATTAGTGCTCAGCTGGTGCTGGCAGCAGGGGCACTTCCAATTAGACTGGTTGTCAGGATGATTTAGAATGTCCTGTTTTAGTTCCAAGAGTTTCTGTTCAGCATCCCAACAATTCTATGAGCCCCTCCGTGTGTCATTAAGTAATTTCTGGTTCAAATTTTCCAAAGTGTGCTCTGTTATCTTCAACTTTTAAAATCCTGATCAACATCACATCTTAGGCTACAAAAGTGTTTCTATAACCAGTCCATGGCTTCTGTGAACAAAGGGACGTGGTGCGCCATTGATGTTTCTGTAATACCCGAACACCCTAATGCCAGGACTCATGTTATTAAGTAAGGGAGCCGATGTCGGCCTCAAATGATAAACTGTCATAATCTCCATCTAGGTGTCATCTCTGATGGTAAACTTTGTAAGAAAGTTTAATGATAGTACACAAAATAAAGAAGAGTGTGCTGGCATAAAAGAAGAATTGCGGAAGGAATTCAGCAAGTTAGAGGAGGTAATTATTTCTTCCAGCTTTTATTATAGCAAATGATACCCTATATCTACCTTCTTTTTCCTTCTACTCTTTTCTTTATATTTCTATTTCTCAATTAGAAATAATGTCAAAGGACCAGGCTTGGTGGTACATATTTGTAATCTTAGCAGTGTGGGAGGGGGAGGTAGGAGGAAAGCAGTGGGAAACTGGCCTGGGAAAAAAATGAAAGCCCTTATCTGAAAAATAACTAAAGCAAAAAGGGCTGGTGGTATGGCTTAAGTGGGAAAGCACCTGCTAAAGTCCTGAGTTCAACCCCAGTACCACAAAAAACAAACAAAAAAACCCAACTCTCTTCCCCAAAATCAAACATTCACTAGTAATGAATTTGTTTGGCATCTATTTCGTTTACTGAAATGTTCATATAATTATAATTTTTCCTTTTAATATGCTGTGTCTAGCGTTATCAATTCTTCTTCTAGAACGGCTGTTCTAGTGTTACTGGGATAAAATCTACTTGCTCTCAATGAATTTTCATATGTATTGTAGAGCTAGTAAATAGATAAAGGGTTTCTGTGTATGTGTTCATAGATGGGAAGGACCCATAATTTACTGTCTTCATTTGGTATCTTTATATTTGGTATCAAGGATATTCTAATCTCTTAATTTTCCTCATTTTTCTAATCTCTAAAATGATTCCATAGTGACTGGCATTTTCAATAAAGCAGTTGAGCCGCATGTCTTTTACAGGAGATGTTTCTTTACCAGTTCTACTTCTTTGCTGGTAATTGATTTGGGGAGTTTTCTATTTCTTCTTGAATCAGCTGTTGTAATTTACTGGACAGTGTGGAAGCTGAAATTAAGATTAGTAGAAAGAAACATCACGTAGATACAAACAACCAATCCACAATGCATAGTGCTTCATGGGCCCTGAGTAAAACAATGGACGTTATTTATAAAGGGCATATTGGTTTGGTGCTGTTTTAATTAGCCAGATAATGTTCTCAATTTTCCTCTTTGGCAAAATTCTTAATATCAATTCATCTTAAATTTCAGAAACAACCTATTTGTGGTTTTCAAACAATTGACATCTGTTTAACAGTTAATTCAGCCAATTTCCAGTGTATTTTAAGTATGCTTATAATTGACAAAGTGCGAGCAAAGAACCTCAAGAATGCAACTTAACAAATTTTCAAAGTGAATGCAGTCATGTCATGGTACCAGCTCCCATATCAAGGAACAGAATATTAGTTTGGGCTGGTTTTGGACTCTGTACAAATAGAATCATGTAATAGTCACTCCTTTGGGTCTGATTTCTTTCACTTAATACTAGGATGTGAGTTTTATCTATGTTCTGTGTAGTTCTCTCCTGTTCTTCCTATAGTGTTCCACAGTTTGACTGTACCACATTTCTCCATTCTACTCTGGACAATAAACATTTTCACATCTGGACTATGTCAAATAGTGCTGCAGTGTACACTTATAGCCACATCTTTTGGTGAACCTGAATTTCCAAGTAGAATTGCTGGGTTCTAGAGGGGCAGTGTGAAAACCTGATTGTACCAATTTACACAGCAATCAGCAGTGTTCCACACCCTTTCTAATTTGTTGATTTTAGCCATTCTGATGGGTGTAGAGTGGGATTGCATTTTGGTTTTAGTTTCACTTCCCTGATGACTAATGCAGTCATTTTTTTTCCAAACGATCATTGGCCATATGAACACTCTTTTTTGTGCAGGGTAAGTCTTACTTATTTTTCTAATGGATTGTTTACTATTTTTCTTTTTTCATTTTTAGATTTTTTTAGTATTTTAAAAACAATTTTTTAAAAAATAAAGTGACAGAAATGTCAGTGCTTGCCAGGGGTTAGGGAACAGACTAAGTACAAGCAGCACAGGGGAGTATGTTGGGTGATGGGACAGCTCTGTATATTGACTGGTTACAAGAACTGGGGATCTGAACTCAGGAACTCAAACTTACTAAGCAGGCACTCTACCACTTGAATCACTAGGCCAGCCCTTTTTTGTCTTGGGTATTTTCAGGGTAGGGTCTCAGGAACTATTTGTCTGGACTGGCTTTGATCCTCCTGAGTACAATAGCTAGGATTACAGGCATGAGCCGCCAGCACCTGGCTGTGTTGTCCCCTTATAATCCTCGCTACTTGGGAGGCTGAGGCAAGAGAATTGAGAGTTTGAGGCCAGCCTGGGCAACATAGTAAGACCCAGTGTCAATGAAATAAACTGAAGTATGCATTTCTCAAATTTCACAGACTTAACACCAAAAAGGGTGGTTTTACTGAATGTAAATAACTTTTTTCCAGTTCTGGGGATCGAACCTGGGGCCTTGTACAAGCTCTCTACCACTTGAGCTACATTCTCAGCTCTCCTCCCCCTTTTTAAAAACAGAAACACTGAGAAGACAGGAGTCAAACATTCACCCTATGTGAACAAAAAAAGGAGGCTTAATGGTTTGCTCTTGCAGACAGTAAAAATGATTACTGGGGAGTTTAAGCAACAGAAAGATAATAATCTTTCATATACAAAAAATTTTAAAGAACAATATTCTTGGGTTGGGAGTATGACCCGAGTGGTAGAGTGACTGCCTAGTAAGCACAAGGTTCTGAGCTCAAACCCCAGTACCACCAAATAAACAACAATATCCTTTTGCAGAGGTAGTATTTCATTTATTTGATACTTTGACTTGGTGTTTCACTCTGGGAATAAAAGTGGGTTTGCTGCTTTGTTGTGCTCGGGATCAATCCCAGTCTTGTATATGCTTGGACTGAGATCTTCCTACCCACACCTCTCAGTAGACAGGCATGTGCTACCATGCCCTGCTACTGGTTGGGATGGGGGACTCGCCAACTTTTTGCCTGAGCTGGCCTCCAACCGTGATATTCCTTATCTTGGCCTCCCGAGTAACTGGAATTACAGATATGTACCACCATACCCAACCTGACTAGGCTGATTTTTACAGCACTTTTTTGGTTTAGGACTCACTTTAGGAAATTGACTTTATTGTCACTTTCATCAATATCATTCTCCTCTTCCCCTTCTCTCTAAGCATTTTCAAGTACTTCTTACTAAAATCTTCTTTGGTAATATGTCTACAATTAACTTAAAAGTTTCCAATTCCCCTGCAGTATTTGCCAAGTCACAGTAAGCCAGTGCTTTCTTTTCCTTTCCACTGCCACATCTGTAGGAATACACCACTAGCTATTGAACAAAGAGCTCCATGGCCTTGGCGGTGTGCACCAGACCCTCTGGTTGATGCTGGACACCTCGGGGGAGCTTTTCATGATGATGTGGATGCAGGACACAGGCAGCAACACTGGCTGCTGCTTCCCACACTCATTCCTGTCCATGGCTGCATCTGCCATCTTCCTGCCCTTGGGTACTCTGCCATGTTTCTTCTCAGGAATTCTTTATCATGAATACCAGTCCTTTGTATTAGAGATGTCCTTTGCAGCTTGTTTTATCTTTTTCCATTTTCTAGTTTATTTTGTTGATTATTTCACTTTAGGCTAGTCCAACAGATTTAAAAACTATTTGACCTTTGTGATCCAAGAGAAAAGCCTAACATGAATGTAAAAGTTGTTGCTTACACCTGTTCTGCTTAATTTGCTCTCATTTCTAATGACTATTCTTACTAGGTGCACAAATAATCAGTATTCTTGTGCTGCTTAATATTTAGGTTCTGACTAATAAGAAGACAACCTTCTTTGGTGGAAATTCTGTCTCTATGATTGATTACCTCATCTGGCCCTGGTTTGAACAGCTGGAACCATGGGAGCTAACTGAGTAAGACATTTGAATATTTCTGCATAACTTAGGGCAATATTTATCTGAACAAAAGTTAAAATATTTCATACAATTGGTATGAATGTGAACAAGTGGACAGGAGGGTCCTGCACCTACATTTACTACTCCTCCCCATCACTGGAGATTTGTGAAATGGAGTAAAACATTTTAAAATTTACTCCTTCAGTGGTAAAATTAAAAAAACCCAGAAGGATGTATACTGTTGCAGCACTCTATGATCAGGGTTACCTCCATTTACTAGTAAGACTTCGCACTATTTTTCGCACTTTTGAACTTGGCAGACAACAACCTTGGCTTATTCTCACTTCTTAGAGATTAGACCTTTTCAGTTACTGTTAAGTCACATCCAATGATAAAAAATTACTAACATTCTTAGTTGCCTTTCAACTCTTAAAGTTATCATTCTCTCAGTTTGGACTAGTTTACTTTTTATTTAATTAGTTTTTGAGAGAGATTCTTGCTATGCAGCCCAACCTGGTCTCAAGTTATGCTTGTCCCTCCTCAGCCTCCAGAGTGCTGGGTTTATAGGCATGTATCACCACACCTGGCTGGACAAGTTCTCATACTAAATGAGTAACTTCACTCTCACCTAACATTACTTTTTTGTAAAAGACTTCTATGTAAACTTTCAAATCTAATACTCTATGATTACAGGCATTTTAAAAACATCTTTTAAAAGGTTAGGGGAAAATACAAGTGCAGTTGACCCACTGCAAGTGCTGTGATGGTGATATATGGGAGATTGCCATGCTCACACCTTTCTTTCTTCCTGCTACAGGTGTGTCTCCCACACTCCAAAACTTAAGCAGTGGATGACAGCCATGAGGGAAGATCCCGCAGTGTCAGCCTTCTTCCTTGATGCAAAGAACTATCAAGGTTTCCTCCGTCTTTACTTTCAAAACAACCATGAGGCCTATGACTATGGACTCTGAAGGGAACAAGAGTCAGCAGTGAAGCTATGTCTGATATTTTACTTCACTGATATGACCAACAACATGCTTTCATTTTACCAAATACTCTTACAATCTCATTGGCTCATCTCTGATTTGCCATCATGGCCTAATAACGTCTCAAGGCCCTCCTACAGCAATGTGAACACATTCCCACCTTACAATACTCAAAACATAACTCTGATGGTTCTACTACAGTCTTTGCTGAAAACACCCAAACTATCATCTCTTGTGAAACTACACTTTAACCTAGATTTCTAACTGCTCATCAGCAATTTTCACTAAGATATTTAGCGGTCATTTCAAGAAATGTCTTCTGAGGTTTCTTGTCTTCTGGTTTCTGAACAGAGAAACTTTCAATTCTTTATTCTTTCCATCGCCAAGTTAATTTCACTCCTTCTCTTATTCCTGTTACCATTGACGACCATATCCCAATCACTAAAGCTAGCTGACTGAGGGACTTCTTGTTTGGTCTCCCAGTCTCTAACCTCTTAGAATGTTTTCTCCAAATCCCATGCTGGGCACACAGCAGGATATGGTTAAATGCCATGAAGCCCAAATCATTCAGTTCACTAGAAATACTGATGACATCTTCAGTGCGTTTCCACGGCTCAGTGGGAGTCACCGTTTTTTATCATCACATCTCCTCCATGGGAAGCGAGACCTTACGATTCTGGCAGAAATGGCTGGAGATCGCATCCGAGACACATCAGAGTCAGGGGGCTGCCGACCCCTGCCCCAATAGTCTGGTTTCCTGTACTTATCTTCAGATTGGCTGGGGAGGAAAACCCCGGGATAACTAGTTCTAAACAGTGCATAGCAATCCCCTAGGCCCTGCGCGGCCCTTCCGAGTTAGTGGGAAGCCCGCCACGTGCTGGCCGCACCCTCAGAGGCAGCTGCGAACAGCTGACTTCACAAACGGCCCCCGGACGCCCACCCTCGGCTGCCCCAGCGCCCCGGCTCCCAGCGAGCGGTCCGTCTGTGCCGCGGTCCACCGGCCCACCCGCCAGGCCACGGCGGCTCCTGGCGCATTTCCAGTCGAGTGTGGAGCCAGGTGCCCAAGGGCCGCCGCCAATGGCCAGCCGGCTTCATCTTTGGCCACCCTTCGGTAACCAGGAACTGTAACGCGACCGCCCATTGGCTCCGCTCCCTGGGCTGCCGCTCCTAAAAGCTTTGCGGGTTGACTGAAGGTCAGCTGCAGCCAGTTCGCGGGTAGGATCTCGCGAGAAGGAGCGGGCTTCGCTTGGCCCTGCCTCTTTCTGTGTCCGTGGTTGCTCGGTGTGTAATGGTGTCAGCTGTTGCGTGCGTCAACAAGTCACTCGCGAGCGTCTCTCCTGTCACCTCCAGTGGGTGGGTTGGTCTGGTCCGCATTGTATTCTAAGGGAAGAGGGTTTGAGACCAATTCTCAACTTTGGGAATTTCACGAATTTTGGGTCCCAGAATAGGATTGCCCAATTTTTAATTTTACACTTTCATTTTAACATAAGAGAAATCCTAGGTATTTAATCTTCATTACTGTTTCATCAAAGAATTTAAACATAAAAAAGGCGGAGGGCTGGGGATATGGCTGAAGTGGTAGATTCAATCCCTTGTATCTCAAAACAAACACAACAAACAAAAAACTGCAAGGAGCCTGGTGCTGGTGGCTCAAGCCTCAAATCTCAGCTACTCAGGAGGGAGAGATCAGGAGCATTGCGGTTCGAGGCCAACCTGGGCAAATAGTTGGAGAGACCATCTTGAGAAAACCCAAATGACTCAAGAGGTAGAGCCTATCAAGTGTGATGCCCTCAGTTAAAACACCAATACCACAAAACAAAACAAACAAATCTGCAAGGAGTCTGGAGATGTAGTTCATTGATAGAGCCCTTGCCTAGCATGCAAAAGGCCCTGGTGATGCACAGATGACCCAAGCAGAAATTTCAGGTGCTAAGGGTTCTTGAGCCCACTCTGAGAATGAAAGCACAGGCAGACTCCAGCAGCAGAGGTCTCAAGATTTTATTTGTAGAGCAGACAGGAGAAAGAGTGCATGGTGGGGTATGCAGGGGAACCCGGAAACCAGTGGTCAGGTTGGAAATTGGGTTTTTATAGCCCTTTTTGTATATTGCCCCAGGATGGAGATGTCTCTCAGGTGCACACAGAAGTTTCCTGGGAAGGAGAGGTGTCTCCTTGACCACTTATCACCTTTTGGGACCTCCTGCAGTCCATCCTTCAATCCCCCCTCTCAATGGTTGCCCTAACTGCTGTTAGGCATAGGGACAATGAAGTCTGTTCAGTAACTGCTTCCTGCTGATAGGGGGTGATGAAGGGGCCAGCAGCATCAGGGCTGACCACAGGAGGGGTTGTCAAGGGAACCACCATAGTAGGTTGTTTTCATCTCCATCAGGGGCATTTGTACTTTGTTGGATTCTAGGAGAGAGAAAACAAACATGACAAGTAAGTTTAAAATGCAAGGCCCAAACATAAGCAAGAGAATAATAGCAACTATAGGCTCCAGAAAGGGTAGGAACCAAGTCCTGGAGGAGAGCCAGGATTTTATCTGGTCCCATACCTGTATAGAAACCTGAGTTTCAAGAAATTGTTCCTGGAGCCACTTCGCCTGTTGGAGAATGTAGTCTGCACGTTCCTCTACACTGCCTGAAGTGTTTATATATGTGTAACAGAAAGTATTGGCGATGGAACATACCCCTCCTTGTTTAGCCAAAATAAAATCTAGGGCCAGGCTGTGGTCCATTACCATACAGGCAAGGGACGACAAAGACCTTTGCATGTCCTTAATGGCAAGGCCTATCTGGTCTAAGGTGCCCTCTACTATTTTGGTTAGGTTTTTTGCAGTTACGTGATTGGTAATCACCCCATAGCTTATTCCAGCTAGGGCTACAATTAATGCGGTTATCCCTAAAACTATTAGAGTAACTTCCCTCTTACCTCTATGGGAAGTTGTTCCTGTTGTAGTTAGCATTCCCCTTTTCTTACAGATGGCTGTTTGAGCATGCAGGATCAGGAAGGCATACTTAGAATCTGTATAGATGTTGACTTTCTGTTCTTTTGACAGTTTTAAGGGTTTTGTTAGTGCCATTAATTTTGCCATTGAGCACTAGTATTAGGAGGAAGGGGACCTGATCTGAGGGTGCCAAATTCTGTTACAACTGCAAACCCTACATGTCTGACACCATTTTTGACAAAGGAACTGCCATTAGTGTATAATTCTAGATCCGGGTTTTTTAAGGGCTGATCAGTTAACTCAGGTTGGGCAGCATAATTTTCCATATGTACCTTCTCACATGAGTGTTAAGGATTTCCCTCTGCCTCTGGTAGAAGGGTTGTAGGATTTAGGCTCTGACAGGCCCTTAAAGTTATCTCTGCCCTGTCTAGAAGCTGGGCCTGGTATTTAAGTAGATGGCTGTCAGATAGCCAAAGTTCTCCTTTTGAGTTTAAAATTCTCCCTAGGTTGTGTGGGGTATAAATCTTTAGGTGGTTTAGGATAAGTTTTTGAGCTTCAGGTACTAGAAGACTGACTACAGCCACTGCTGTAAGACATCCTGGCCATCCCTTGGCTATCTGATCTAATTCTTTGCTTAAGTATCCTACTGGCTGGGGAGTGATGCCCTGGAGCTGAGTCAGCACTCCCAGGGCCACTCCTCCCTTTTCATAGACATATAATTGAAACTTGTCTTGTACTGGGAGACCCAGGGCTGGAGCTGTCATAAAGGCCGTTTTTAACTGGTGGAATGCATTTTCTGACTTACCATCCCACTCAATAAAGGGCTGGGGATCTTTCTGTGCTTCCTTAAGGATTTGAAATAGGGGCCTGACTAGATCTGTATATCCCAGGATCCAAATTCTACAGTAGCTTGTCACCCCCCAAAGGCCCTCAATTGCTTTAGAGTTTTAGGTAGAGGAAACATCAGGATTGTATGGATTCTATCTTCTACTAAAGCCCTCATTTCTTTTTTCAGGATAAGACCTAAATATGTAACCCTAGACTGACACAATTGGGCCTTTTTTTTTTTTTTTTAGAGATTTTATATCCCCTATCGGGTAGGAAGTTTAAGGATTCAGTAGCTCATGACATGACAGGCTCAGTTGGTCTATAGATTGGGAGGTCATCTACCTATTGTAGCAGAGTAGCTTGTGGATATTGCTATTCTGCCAAGTCTTGGGTTAGAGCCAAACCAAAGAGATGAGGACTGTCTCTGAATCCCTGGGAGAGGACAGTCCAGGTGACTTGTCTAGACTTTCTTGTGGGGTCCTCAAAGACAAAGATAGGTTGACTTTTAGGATGTAAGGGAATATAAAAGAAGGCATCCTTTAAGTCCAGGACAGAGTAGTAAGTGGTACCTGGAGGTATTTGGGCTAAAAGCATATAGGGATTTAGAACTTCAGGGTGGAGAGGCACTAATGCTTCATTGATCAGGTGGCGATCCTGGACTAGTCTCCATTTGTTAGGACCTTTCCTGACACTGAGAATAGGAGTATTATATGGGCTGGAGCACTCTATTAGCAGTCCCTGTCTCTTTACATCTTTGATTATGGGAATTAGCCCCTCCTTAACTTTTGGTTTTAAAGGGTATTGTTTTTGATGGGGAAACCAAGAGGGGTCATTGAGATAAATTAAGACTGGGACCATTGTTTGTGCCCGTCCCACAGTGTGTCCATTTGTCCACACTGTGGGGTCTCCTCATTCCTCTATCAGGGCAAGCAAAAGTACTCTCCTGGGGGTAAAAGTAGCTGTACACCCAATTTGGATAGAGGGTCTTGCCCTAGCAGAGCAGTGGGGGTTTCTGGGACAATTAAAAAGGAGTGACAGAAGTGGAAATCTCCCCAGGAGCAGGCTAGAGGTTGAGTGAAATAATGCTTTAGAGGCTGGCCTGAAATGCCCTGAACAGTAATTTTTTTGGAGGACCTAGGTCTGGGAGAGAAAGGAATAGCTGAGATGTTGGCTCCAGTATCAATAAGGAGGCTTTTCAATAGTAAGTATAACTCCAGGCTCCTTTGCTTTTACAGTAGTTACAGGAGCCTGGATGGGAGGCCCCAGGACTCCTTATTGGGTGGGAGGCTTAACTGAGGACAGTGTGCCTTCCAATGTTTTCCTCTACATATGGGGCAGGGTCCCAGAGATAGCTTTCTCTGGGGGTACTCCCTCCTAAAATGGCCTGCCTGTCCACATTGAAAGCATGTCCCCAGGTTTGGACTTTCCCCCAGTGAACCCTCACTGAGTGTTGCGATCAGAGCCTCCTGC